CTGATGGGGGCGAAGAAGTTGTTCATTTAACAAAAAACGCAAAAAATCCAGTAGAGAGGCGCCGAATTCAGCCAGGTAGTGTGTAAGAATTACACCAAAGTCAGCTCACGGAAGCCGGAATTCGTCAAGGGTGATAACACAATCTCAAGTACTACAGTGCTAAATGCTAAAAAATGCTTAAGTAAACGGAACAGTAAATACAAGGAGCCAACAATGTGAATCACCTCTGGCAAAATTGCGCACCTCACAGATGATGCAGTACTGCTAGAATGTTTCAAGCACTGTTCAAAAGCAGCAATCCCTATCTGATTCGCATTCAGAAGTAACTATTGCTTCTCATTTATTTATAAACCAACAAAACCGGTACCTTACTACATAAATCGCAAACATATAAGGCTCCTATAGTCGCTTCCTCGTGATTGTCTTGTATATCGATGTTTATCACATGAACAGGATCACCGTCATTCGTCTCTCGCGTCTGCAAATCTTCCACTATCTGCAATACATTTTAATTTTTCATACTTCCCAATATATTTTTTGCATATTTAAAAGATTCAGCAGATCAGTTACATTCTATTTTGTTGCAAGTATGAGATTGCCCAAACAAACAGCCGTGAAGATTCAATGATAGTGCTGAAAACAGCATGTACTCGCACGGTGTGTGCGTAACTGCCTATTTCGATCCTGAGTAACAAGTCACCACTTAGTACCTTGTACAATGTACATGAATAATCTTTTAGATAGTTAGTTCATTGATCATGTACTCTGTCAAATATATTAAGCAGAAAAAAAGGGCAAAACAGGGGACCTTCGTTAGAACAACGCCCTTACTCATAACGTTTGTAATAAGGAGAAAACAAAATGTTGCGCGTTCCCTTCCATTTTGTTACTTTGAAACGCTTAACAGCATCGGGATGGGGAAAGAAGGGATGGAGAGGGAGGCAGAAGAGTAAGCATGATAACTATATCAAAATAAATGGCAACGCGCACCAGACTAGCCGGTGCGATCATGCGTTTTGTGCAATTCAGC